TATTCTTCATGCTTAATGTATATTAATTACTCTTTACATTACCTTATTGAATGTGATAATATAATGCAGAGATTACCTCTTATGTATGAGGCATTTTCATCATAAGAGTCCATTATATGATGTCTGAATGGTTCACTGATGGCTATTTATAATGGCATTTGTCCAACCTTGCGCACTTACCTTTGAAAAGATGTTTTAATCCTTGAAAACTATAGTCTTTTTGTTATAATATTCTGTAAATTTGAAGATGGGGAGGATAAATGAAATCCCATGAATGATGCTTTGTGTGTGATTTATAAGAAAGCTTACATATTTCAGAATACAGTATAATTTTGCTTATGGTAGACCTCAGTATTTCATGTAATACAATTATATAGCTGCAGTCATTGTTATAGTAACTGACTCAGCTACCCATAAAAGTGTTATGGAAGAAGTTGATTAGGGCATCCACTCATGAATTGACAGTTGTGTTTCTAGGCAACATTCATAGTTTAGTCTTGTTCATTTTCTAACTCCTTTCTCTTTAAGTGCAGGAGTTTCTCACTAATAAGTCTTTCATTAAATAGTCTTATTAACACCAAAATTACCTATAATCACCTTTTACAAGTAACTAAAGTTTATTGACATGTTCTGGTGTTCATTTTGCAATACAATACCTTCTATCCCTTGGCCAGAATTTATTCATATATCCTTATCAAAATTCTCTTAAGCTTGCAACTCTATACAGTTTCAATTGTGGTATTAGACATTATATTCTGTTTCAGTTCTTAACTTGACAACCTTCAAACTTTCAACTTTTAATTAATACAATGATATCTACTGTATCTATTTTTATTACCTCCAGGAACTCGTATTGAAATAGAATGTTCTCCAGACTTTTAGTCTCTGGCAGTTGAGCTAATGCCAGTTTGCAGATATTCAAAGAACTTGCTCCCTTTCTACCAGTGGTGTTATATCAAACAAAGAAAGCAGAGTGTTCATTGTTAAGGTAAGAAACAATTTTGACTAGGAAACTGTTGGTCTGTTATCAGTGATTTATGATAATTTGGTAATGAATACTGTACTGTTAAATAACTGCATAACATTTTTGAATTACAGTAATAATGTTTTAGTGGCATTTCAGCAATATTTTTGTAGTTTTATATGTTTTATGCATATATACTGTACTAATGCTTGTATAAAGGATAAAAAATTTAATGTTTAAAGTTTCTAAAAGTAAATATTTAATATCAAATTTTTCAGAATTTTCTTCACAGAGTGCTATCACGTAATGGGAATATTCAGTGATCCTGACATTAAATACTAATAATTCATCAGAATAATGGACTCTGTGGTGTACATATACTTTCTTGGATATATATTTAAAGTTAATTATATTTATTTTCATTGAGCAAGAAAATATTTTGACAGTGCGGGGTGTTTCCCTTCATGGTAAACCCAGTAAAGAAAGTACTGTTAACATATCAAATAACAAGAGGTTTGGTAGAAATAGATGCTTTTTATTACTGTACTTTAAGAGAAAATTAAAATTAAGCTATTGCTAAATGGTGGTCGAGGGTTGTCATCATTGTTTTTCAAATCAGATTAACACGAGCTGTGTTTTTATCTTGTTTCATTTCACTGACGTGGTCAACATTTCCAGTTTTATATATTGCTTGAATTAATGTTAAAATTTCATTAATAACTGACAAAAAAAAATCCAAAATATAAAATATTTTAGGAAAATTTCTTCATGTTTGGATCTGTTGAATTATATGAAGTTCCTTGATGTCTTATATTTTAACATTCATCTTGAAGTGATGTTTCTTGAATATATATTCAAATACTGTATATTAAGAGCTAGGCTAAGAATTAGCCATTATCCAAAGTTACTTCAGCTATTTCTGTACCCATAGAATTGCCTTGTAAATATCAAGTAAATAGTTATAGATGTTTGTAAATGATGTTTTAATGGCCCTTTTAATGTTTTCTGGACTATAGATTCAATACTAGGGTAGTAGCCCACCTTGAGGTGCTGAATAACTACCATAAGGACTTTTTGGCCAATATCTTGGTTTACAGGAAGACATTCTCTGTTACTGTTTAAACAATGGCAGGTGAACAAACTGGCCAAATTTTACTTATCAAGAAAGTTCACAGCTACTGAAAGGAAGCCAGCTGAACTTGGTCTTCCTGGATGTAAAGCTGGAAAGTAGCAAAAATGTCTTCAGTCTAGAGGTAATTCCCAGGCAGATACCCATTCTGTAACAGGTGAAAGTGTTCATGTTTTCATGGTGAGGGTTATGGCAAAACAAATAGTGCAGGAAAGAAATGAAATTTATAGGTTAGAGCAACTTAGAGGTATGGTTGGGAAGTTGGAGATTCCTGCAATTTTGCAGAATTTGATGTTTTAGGGTTTGGAGAATTTGTGGTTGAAGGAATATACAGGTAATCCCTGGGTTACACACAAATTCCATTCTTAAGTTGAAAATGTACCTAAGTCGAACCACATACCCTGTGCATACCGTATTTACAGAACAATGTTTAAAATCCCACTAAGTATATCATAGCCTAAGTCCTTATATACACCTAAAATCATTTAATTTAAGAGGTACGGGCGGAACGAATCAAGTGTGAGATCCATCAAGATTCGGGAGAGGGAAATTTCTGAAACCGTGTCTACAAGTGCCCCATTTACTGCTAAGGTGACTAGCCAGGTTAGAGACGTAACTCTAATGAAGGTGGAGAAGGCATTAAACATCTGGGTGGAGGATATGAACCATTAACGTGTCCCCATCGACGGCAACGTGCTCAGGGAGAAGGTACCGAGTCTTTTATAACCAGTTTAAATCTGAGGTTCCTGAGGGTGAAGTATCCACCAGCTCTGAGAAGAATTTTAAAGCCAGTGCAGGTTGGCTCAACCATTTCAGGAAGCGTTTCAACCTGAAAAGTATTACTCGCTGGTGAATCGGTATCGGTGTACGAGGCAGCTGCACGGGTGTTCCCAGGAGAATTCAGGAAAATGGACATCTTCCAGAGCAGGTCTTCAATGCTGACGAAACATTTGTTTTGGAAGAAAATGCCAGACAGAACCTACATTTCCAAGTCTGAGAAGCAGGCCCCCGGGTTCAAGGCTGTGAAAGACCGCGTCACCGTCCTGCTATGTGGCAACTTAGTGTCTTGAGTATGACCCCTCTATGGAGTGCAGCTTCAACTTCTCATGAGGTCTTACAAGCCTTAAAGCTCAGTATAAGAATATGTTCCAACAGCTTTAGGAAACAACAACGACAGCTTCCCATCACCATGTTCTTTTAAGAAAACCTCAGCATCAACATTGTCAGCAGATCAGCCAATGCCCTCAACTTCTCGCAGTGACCTTGAGCTGCCCACATCCTCCCCTGCATCGCTATTTGAGCTTGACGATCCCCCCACGGTGACGTGGGAAGGGGATGAATAATCTCAAAACAACACATGTCTGTCTACACACAGGTATTGTCTGTGTTCTATTAATGCTGTTATGCACTTGTTACAGATGTTGATATTACATTACAGTAGTGATTTATGAGTTCTAGTGTATATGTATGTATGTATAGTGATTTAAAGGCGATTTAGGGGATGTTTTGGAGTGTTTCTGACTTTATGCGTTTTTTGGCTTTACGCTGGGTCCCAGGAACGTAAGCCCCACGTAAGTTGTGAGTCTACTGTGCTATACTGTACATTCAGTAGTAGGAAACACTGGAGTACCATAACTTTCATCATTATTAAAGACATTCATATCATAAGACCCACTAATCCCCCATCCCGACTTGATATTGCATCAAGTCAGTAACGTGACCCAGTAATCCCCCCACCCAACCTCCATCGTAAGACAGTTACATATTACATTCAGCTGAGTGAGCAATGTCTGCCTACTCTAGGTTCAAGACAACAGCATCTGCTGTTGAAGAAAGTATACACAGTATAGTAGTATATATTATTTTGTTTACAATTAACAATTCAGTATTGTACGTGCACAGTGGTGTTTTCATAAATAAATACAGCTCCGTGCGAGATGCATCATTTAGACTTGGGGAAATTTTCCTGAGAAGAGTGGAAATACCACTAATTTTTTGTAACACGGCTCATCATGCCCTTATCATATCGATTTTTTTTTTTAATATATTTATTGAGCCAAAAACTTTAGATAAACTATTCAGGATTATTTGGGTAAAAAAATGTCGTGTAGCTTAATTAAAACTGATTTTATTAACTCCAGTATCAACCTTTCTTATTTTTTTTTCTATAAAAGAATAGAGTCCCCATACTTATATCGTGTACAGTATGTATACTGTATGTCACAGCTTGGATTTGTGTTATGGCAAAGAGGATTTCTGGGCGTGGCGTGGTCACATGTAACAGTTTTTGCCCGTGGTAAATTAGGGGTTTTGAATCTCTAGCACAGTATACTGTAATTATTAATATACTGTACTGTATACCATAATTTTTTCCAACATTCTTGGCATTTCTTTCAAATCGTTTTTCTTCACGAGCTTGTTCAAGTGTAAAATTATTTTGTTGATGGTCATTGACTCTTAAGCCCCAGGTTAGGGTGCTGCTGGCAGGTCCACACACAACCCCCCCCCCTCCCCCCGCGGGGATAAATCGAGAAAAAATAAACTTTCCAAAATAAATAAATAAAATAAAAAAATGGTGGGAAAATAATGAGCTATAATAAATGCTGTATCTTTGTTATTCCTGTAGGACCTTAGGACCATTAATACTTTATATTTTAAAATGTATTTAATTATAATTTCTCACACAAATGTTCATTCATAAAATTACAAAATCAATGTTTGTCAACCATGACACACGGGTAGCTTATATTGTGCAATATACTCATCCTGATTACAACTGCCAAGAGGTCATTGCAGTACAGTATACAGTCTCTCCTCAACTTATGACGGGGTTACGACCAGGTCGAAAAGGCGAAAATAATACACAAATTCTAAAATGGCTGTCTCTTTTTCTTCTCAGCACCACGAGAACTCTCACTTTTATGCTTGCCAGCCATTTTAAAGGGAATTACAAACGAAAATTTTGTCAGTACACAGCGCGATCACTAACGTCGATACTAGAAAATACGTAATTTGAAAAATATTTTATATAACCACGGCTGTCGTGTGTCCCGGTTGTCGTAAGTCGAGTATTGTATGTCGTAAGTCGAGGAGTACCTGTAGTAAATAAAATAAATATCTAATATATATAAATGGTCTAACAATAGTACACTAAATTGTAATAAACTGTTGAATTTAAAAAAATAAATATAACTTTTATAAGGGTAACTGTACAAATCAAATACCAACAACACAGAGTTTTCAAACATGAAGAAATACTTGGTTGCTGCTTCCACTGTAATGCTTAAGCTCATCACCACGCAGTGACAAGATCTCAGAATCCAGTTTTGGTCCATTCTTAGCCTGAAAATAAAAATATATTTCAGTACTAGAAAATGGAAAATTAATTTTTGGAAATAACCTATATTCCAAAAGGCTTTGCAGATTCAAAATTCCCTCCAAACCTCATCAGATGTTCATCAGCTGAGGGTGTGCTCATGCTGCCCACATTAGTCTTTCATCGCTCAGAAAACATTGTGGATTCAAACTAGGTGTACTACCCTTTAAATGTCTCAAAACAAATGCAAAAGTGACGGTATGGAGTGCAGTAGTGCAAAAAAGAAAACAAAGTGGAAATTCCCCAATACAATACAGTTACATGCCTGCAGTCTAGATGTAATGGGAGAGTTTGTTCATGTGAGACGAGATGCACAGTTTTGAGTAGGGATGAGATGCATAGTTTAGACTCAGAAAACTTTTCCCAGCAGCCATAAACATTCTGGGAATGTAGGCTAGTGTCTGTCTTTGCAAGATATGTAGTTTAGACCTTCAGAAACTTTTCCCCAGTAATGGGAACAAATTCCGTGGATGAGGGATTTTTCCAGATTTGAGAAAGTCGTCTGGTAACCCGGAAATCTCTCATCCCTGGAAGTGCTCTGCACCAATTGTTCTGAACATAACTCCTTTGTTGTAAACTTAATCAGCCCCAAATTTGGAGAGGATGTGTCTTACATTAAAGAATATACAGAACAGGTTTCATATTTCTACTGTAAGTAATTACAGCATATCCAATTATCCAATAACGTCACAAATATCCAAAAAACAGCTCACCTTTCCCATGGCAACTCTCTGCCAAGAGTTGTGGTCACAATTAGAACATGATTTCCGAGGTAACTTGTCCAAGGATGAAGTTCTTCTTTTGCAGTTCCTACACTCAAAAAATCTCTTCTTGGCTTTCACTGTCTTGAGTGGGTGATTCTCCTCACGACAGAAGTCTGATGCTGACTCTGTCATGTATTTGCACTTTGGAAAAAATGCAATTATTAAAAATATGAACAAATCAATATACATAAACAGACACTAATGTAACTAAGAAAATCAAAATTAAATAGGCAGTAGCATAAAAAGTGGTCAGAGCAAAATTTACCTGCAGGCAAACATATGCTGTGGTGGGTATTTCCATGACAGATAACATCTTGTCCTCCAGCATTTCTTTCTTCTCTAGGCCTTGGTAATACTTCTCAAGTGCCTCATTCTCTACAACCTAAGATAAAGGCAATAACATACAGTATATCTTGGATTGTCTTCATGCACAATTCTTGACACATAGGGTGACCTACAGGTATACTGCTCCTCCCCGACTTACGACGGGGTTAGGGACCCAAATCCAGGTCGTAAGTCGAAAATGCTTAAATGATACATATAAAACTAAAATGGGTATCTCTTTTTCTTCTGAGCACCACAAAACTCTCACCTTTAAGCTTGCCAGCCATTTTAAAGTGAATTATAAACGAAAATTTTGTCTGTGTACTGACGTTGGAACTCGAAAATACATAATTTGACAAAATTTTGGTACGACTGAGGCAGGTCGTAAGTCGGGGAGGAGCTGTATACGTGTTCCAGGAGGTAGGAGCATACAGTACATGATCTCAAAAGCTAATTAATAAGGTCGTTGAAAACCTGTTGATATTATATAAAAAATTATGTAGTGTGCCTGGGTGGGCTAGTTAGTCCCCGTAAAAAAAAAAAAAAAAAAACATAATCCTTTTCAACATCATCTTTACTTTCACTTATATGTACTCAGTGAGTTAAATTTCAAATAGACATGATTTTATTTCTTAGTTGAAGCACAAGATGCCTTAACACTCTTGGGGTTTTCATAAGCAAATTTGAGTACGTAGTCATAAATTAAAACAAAATAATTTTTGTTTTTGTATGAAAGCTAGATACGCAAGATACACATTTGGCAATGTTAGCGCAATCTGGCAACTATGTAGACTGCACTCCAAGGTTACCACACCAGTTTCCCCTTTGTGTTTAAAGGACCCAGGGTATATAACCTTAACCCATATTTCCCATGCATTTTCTTGCAGCTTGTGCCGATTTCTCATGCATCACAGTGATTTCATTTATCCATAACTGTTGTGAGAGTTTTGAACCATGTCTCATGTTGCTGGTGAGAGTGGAGGGGTGGGAAAACGTAAAAGTGCAAGGACATTGCACCACATGGTGATAGTGTTGTGCCTCCTGATGCCTCTCTGTGTCCCTTGCCCTTCTGGCATAAGTGATATTTTGTCTGACCCTTCAGCAAACAGTCCTAGTGCTATGACTCAATACAGTATGTACAATTATCTTTAGTGTCTGGAGGGAAAAAATGAATAACCTGTACTCGGCCTGGGTGCGCTCATCAAAATACAAAATTTACATCACTATTACCTAGCTAAATATTAACTTTTGCACAACTTTTCGTCTTTAACTATTTTTTTGCTAAATATGTACGCTTTATAATGGAATAAGTTTCATATTACAATCATATAAAATAACGAAAGTATAAAGGGATGAATAAAAATTTTCAAAAAGCATAAACAAATATTTTGTGTTCTACACGTGCTAAAGTATAAAAATAATGATTTCATCGTGATTACTCATGTGTTTGTAGATAATTTATTTACAATGATAATGCAACAAATCCCACCTTTTTATCTCAAACAGCAAGCTTGCTATGACTCATTATGTACAATTATGTCTCGTGTAGTGCAGTCTAATGCTGTGATGCGAGTAACAGGCCAGACCCCGGAGAGTCTTGCGGGAGAGCGTCTACCCAAACCCAAGAGTGTTAAATTTATGAGATAAATAAATCAATGCTTGAAATTGTTCATTTAAAGTTTCAAGTGTTCCTGCAAGTGTTTAACCTTTGAAAGTATGGTAGCTGAAGAAACTGGCGAAGGTTCTATGATGCACTCCCTTTAATAGACAGCATGTTTAGGTACAAAGTGATGATTAATGCATAACAAAATTGGTGTTATGTTTAAATTATATGCCCTTTTTCCCCAAAACAGAAAGAAGTAATGCACTCTTACATTAATTAAATTAGTGTGACGTGATTTCTGTTCCATCATGGCTTTAAACTTGTCCGAATTAACATCGATGGAGCCAAGCTTTGATTTATGAGAATCTGCTAGGATTGCTTCTGCTAGTCTTGACTTTTTATTCACTTGGTTTTCATCTGAAAAACAATTACATTACTGTATTATTAAATGTATGTAAAACATGGGAGTCTTGGCCGAGACTAACTCTCCACCAGCAATGTACGTACTTAAAAGTCAATGTTAGTGTGTGTGTGTGCTTTTTTTGTGCTTTAAATACAAAATGAGGAGATCCTGCCTGTAACAGTCCATCAAACCTGGACCAATGTTGCTGGAGTAGTTTATAACATCTTCAAAACGGCCATCTTGACAGCCATGTAGGATGACAAAACAGAGAACATGGAAATCCCTCCTATAAAATTTTATCCTGATTCCAGATTTGAAGATTAGAATTTAAATGACTTGGCAGCTATAATGATTAATGGAATACCACCAACACAGGCATATTTAAAAAAAAAAACATTGTGCAAAATTTCATAAAGATTGCTAAATATTATTCTAGAAAAACAGTAATTTACATATTGGTTAACAGAATGGCACAATAATTGGTAACTTTATAGAAAAAACATTAGTGTCCTATTCCTAATAAGTTTCATGATGATCTAATAAGATATGATGGTATGGTTATTATACTGTATACATAATAGTACAGTACACAAGTTGGTCTGGCAACCATCTTGGATAGAAGAGCAGAACCAAAACAGGCAAATTGTTAGTTTCCTTAAATACTGGAATCCAATGAAATGCTGTACAGAGTATGCACAGATCTAAACAAATATATATCCCCCCCCCCCCCAAAAAAAAGGTAATTAGTTTATTTTTTAGAAAAATACAGGAAAACATAGATTTGTTACAATATAAAAGTAGCAGCAGCAGCTTTTGAAATAAATTGCGAAGAACCAACAAAATTTGACCTAACTAGCCTGACTTCACACATACAAACCTACTGAATGACTGTTAGGTTAGGTTTGAAGAAGTTAGATGTACTATTCTTATGTGTTCCTCAATATTTGGATAGGGAATTTGAACCGCTGCCACATACAACTTAACTCTAAGTTCATCCGGGAGAAAGGTAAACTTTTATATGCACGGTTCAGTGGTGATCATTCATTCATCATCTGCTGTGATGTACCAGGGATAGAGTTGGGAGGGAGGATCAAGAGGATGAAACAACATAATTGGGCTGGTGAGTATAGTACAGTATTCCATAATGTGTTGTATTTTTTTAGGTATATAATAATAATAAAAAAAAAAATATTTGCATCTTTATTATGCTGTCTTTACATGTTATTTATTGACATGTGAGAGGGAGTGAGGTTTGCAGATCATTAGAAAGACGTTCAGGGCCATACAAGTGACCGTGAAAAGGTTATAATATTGAATATTACAGGGAAAGTGAAAATCCGGAAAAGAGTACCGGTATTTGCTGTTTTGCGGTAATATCAGGAACGTAACATTTGTGAAAAATGAGGGACCACTGTATACATTTCATTAATTTTTTTTCATATTTAAAAAAATAAATAAAATAAAATTTATAGTAAAAAATAAAAATAAAAATATTAATACAGTGACCCCTCGTTTAACGAACTGCCTTCCATAAGGATCTTCAATTCGGTTAACGAACAAAAATTCGGTTAACGAATTTCTTACGAACCGACCTCAACATGTTTTCGCTTGCACTGGCCGGGCAACCAGCTTTAGTATCAGTCCGCCAACACATTAATCGGTTCTAAGGCTTAAATTCCTTACTATTTTAGTAAATATCAAGAAGTTTATACTATTCAATAATTTTAAAAGTTTAATATTCAATTTTTTAGTCATTTTAACAATTATTGAACATAATTGAAGGTAAAGTGACTAGTTTAATGCGCGGCATCCAGCCTCTTAACACAGCAAACAGGCGTTAATCTCTCTCTCTGTTTTCACTGGAGGTAACATCTTGCTTGAGACTCTCTTCAACTAAACGCTTTTTTTCTGTGTTTCCAAGCAAATTATTGGTCATTTTGAAATATATTTTACATATTGACAATATATAATGCAGTGCAGTGTTGATTTAAAGAAAATAATCTTGAAATACACCAAGAGGACTAAAATTTTAAGGGTGAAATGGTGCCATGGGGTGACTTCTCTTCCACCCCAATGCCTTCTCTTCTTCCTTCTCCTCCACCCCCATTCTAATTCCCATCATCATCATCATCCAGGAACCTTCTGCATACACACCTTAAAGTAAGTGAACTTTTCTACCATTTTTGTTGAATTTAGGAAATTTTCGGTGAGCTGGAACCAATTACCCAAAAACCCATTGAAACAATGGTTTCGGTTAATGAACTTTTTGGTTAACGAACGACCTTCTGGAACGGATTGAGTTCGTTAACCGAGGGGTCACTGTAACAATAAAAACTGAAAAATACAAAAAAATGAAGAAAAAAAATATCAAGAGTGAGAAACAATATACAGTATGTATGTTATATCGTCAATAGTAAGAGAAATAATTGAGACCCTGCAATTGTGTGAAAATGAGGCAGAAAGTCAGATCAGCAACCTGGGACTTGGTCACAATTTTTGTGATGCCATATGGCAGCAGGGTCTACCATTAGACAATACATTATGCTTCCAATATCTTCCAAAGTGGTAGTACCTCCCTGTTTGATAGCCGCCTACTACCTACTAAATTGACCAAAGGATTAGCTGATCACCCACCTGGATTGCTAATTATCCAATTACTGCATATTGTTACCAGAACCAGTGCTTGCTTGGAAAATACTATTAAAGGACTAAAGAAATTTACCCCAAAGTGCACCAGGTGTCACCAATTTACTGTGGAAGAAATCCTAATCGACACTGGTGCTCTACATGTAATTTTTAATTCTCATATCAATGTTCCTCATTGCTGAGGCTTTTAACTTACTGGACATCATAAAACTGTACTGTATATTTATCAATGAAGTCTTGTTACATGTCAGTTAATACTGTATCATGTTAAGTCAAATTACAAATGCTATAAACATACTACCTGTAGTACTGTAGTTTGGTAAAAAAAAAAAGAAGAAAAAAAAAGGAAGGGGTTATTGACAATCTACCTCAACAATTAAATTATACTTAATGATGAACATGATGTACAAATGGAAGAGGGACTTACTGTCTGACATTGAGGAATTGCTTAACCTTTTTCTGATTTTCTCCTGAAATTGAGGATCAGAGGCTTTCTTTGTGTTCTTCACTGCATTTGGGTCTTTAGCTTGAATCCCACCTTTCCCTTGAAGCAGTGCCATAGCATGTGCCTGTTGGAGTAAAACACTTGAAAAGGGAATGTCTGGTTGAACATTTTGGGGGGAATTAAAACCTTTTATTCAACATTTTATTTAATACAGTATAGTCTGGATTTACGCGGCTTTTGTTTACGCGTTCGGTCATTTACGCGGCACCTTGCCAGAATGAAATGCTTTAATTATGCAGTAAATTTGGTCATTTATGCGGGAAGCGGCGCGGGCAGGGTGCGCACAAGGTCGCCCAGTCATCAAAACATTACCGAGTTCTTCACCCACCACAGCCGGCCCAAGTCATTGATAGTGATAGTGACAGTGAGGGTATGGACTTTGAGGGATTTGACAAAGAGGCCCTGCAAGCCTCTGTGGTGGATAGTGATACAAGTGATACAGGTGAGGCCAATAATCTGCCTCGGAACCAACCTCCCATCCCCGTGTGCTCAGCCATCTTTTCTACTAACGTAAGTGTTAAAAAACCTATTATTATTGATATTTCTCTTAATTATTAATTGTGTGTGCATACCATCATAAAATTAAGATGTTATTTTGACTACAAGGTATGTATTGTGTCGGAAAAAGTGGAGTTTGGGGGTCGGCCCAGTCTCCATTTCAATTAACCCCATATGTTCTGTTACCGTATATCATTTACGCGTTTCTCGTTTTACGCAGGCCTCCACGGGTTCAATTGACCGCGTAAATGCAGACTATACTGTACTTGTATTCCTCTGTGAACCATATTCCATACCTATGTCTTGCTTCTTATATAGTAAATTTTCGGGACTTTCCAAAAATATTCTTTTTAATTCTGAAGACTTGTATTTACAAAATCCATAAACTGTATACCTTCTTTCTTTTATATATTTCAGCCACTGTATTTAGTGTAAATATCTAATCTAAGCAGACCCACTCTAAAACCTCCCTGTCTCTCACTTATATAGTACTGCACTGTTAATTTCCTCATATATTGCTTGTAAGCTATACAAACTTTTACTTACTCAGTAGATTTCATAAAAGTACTCACTTTAGCAGGGCCTGGTCTACTTGGAGGTGGTGAAATGTCTAAATCAATATCACCCCCAGGCTGGATACCACGACCTAATTTGGGAGTTGCACTTGGGGAAAATGAGCGTCTTGATTGTCCACTTCCAGGTGATAGAGACAATGGTGTTTGTGACATACTCTGCTCTTGCTGCTGAAAGGAAAAATGGATAACTCACATTGTAAGTATCATTCCAAGTAATTTTTACTATCTGGAGAGAATTCATATTAAGGGTAGAAGAATGGATGTTGAGAAACTTCAAGAAATAATGAAAAATACACAAATTGCTGGAATGTTGAAAAGCACAGTTTATTGAATTGGAGTGAAGGAATAAGCTAAATAATAAGTAAAGGATAATATTTAAATTTTATGATATAAATGACATAACACTTTACAGCAACATGAACACATTGGGAGCACTGCTAGTGTATCCTTAACACTGAGAAGTGTGAATATAGTTTGTAGCTACCCAAATCATTTGTTAAGGGCCTAAAGTGTCACTCTGCTATGTTCAATGTTAGGCAAAATATATACACAAAATAAAATAGACCAATAAACTAAAACAAAAATAAAAAATTACCATATATTCCAAACTGATTACTGTACCTGTCTTTTCCTTGACTGAATCTGATGATAGGTCATGTTGAGTAAATCCTTTGCCGAGACACTACAGAACTCTCCTGCATCAATCTTTTTATCTGTGTCCTCTTTGACCAAGTGACGTAAAAGATTACGAGCTCCTGGGGTAGGTGCCAGAAGTTTCTCACTACTAAATGGAGAGAAAAAAAGAAAGAAAATTAATGAAATACAAAACCTATAAATTTTAGTGATAAATTTTACTGTGAAAATTGGCAACCATCATACAGTAATTCATTATCACCATCACCAATTTTTGGCCATTTTCCATGCTTGCATGGGTTGGCAGTGATTATCTGGTGTTAGCTCTCCATGTTGTGTGGTCATTTGTAGCCTCAAGTTCTTATCTCTCAGGCCATTTCAATATGGTTATAGCTCCCAATATTTCCTGTCTTTGAAGTTTCTTTATCCCATGATCCTCATTACACTAAAGTTGGAGAGAGGTAAAGATAAATATAAAATCGATTACATCTTATCACATGAATATATAGAAGTGAGAAAAAGAATACTCACAAACTATCATTACTTTGTGCAACTTGCTTTACTGCATTTATTTCACCATCACTCATGTGTTTTAAGGTGAAGGACTTCTGCTTATCTTCCTCCTTCAACTGTTCTGCCTTCAATTTAAGTTTGAGGGAGTTTAAGGTTGCTAGATCCTTTCCTTTGTTGGCTCTAACTTGCTTGGGAGCACTACCTGGAGTTGGTGAACTGTACAGCTGTCCACCATAAAATACCTAAATATGAAATAAAAAAAATTTTTGGGACAAAATGCTTCAATTATTCATTTGCTGTAAAACTTTACCATCAAGTTCAAAATACAGGAATACTGGACCTCATTTAACAGATCCTCTGGCAACAATGTTCCTTTATAATGATGTCATAAGAAATGAATTTTAACACTATTTTTATCTGTATTTCATGATGTTTTCCTATTGCACCCCTTCTCTTAAGTTCTGAAACACATCACTCTGCTTCCTTAGTTACATCTATCTCTAGTAAGAAAGCTTCTGACAATGATGTAAACTAATGGAAAATATTAACTTACTTTATTGAGGTATTCCTGTATCTAAGTACTTAAATGACTGCACAAAAATTAAATGTACTATAAATAAAATTAAGTTACCTGATCCTTCCCAAGCACTTTCTCTTGTAGCCTACGCCGTGGGTCTACTCGGGTGAATGAGGATTGGATATCGGCACGCTTGGCAGATGTTTTTTGATACTCTCGTTGGATATGGTATAAACAGAACTCACATGAAGACTTGTTCACAAAATATTTGCACTGTGAATTTTGCTTTGTTCTGCAAATATAACATTTCAGAGAATGAATATTCAATATCTTTTATGTCTTAAAAAAAATGATTCTCCAGACATTCTTTTATAGTGACACACATTCCCTTCAGAACCACCTACATCTCCTTTTAATAGCATATATTTTCACAATTGGAGTCCATCTTCCTTTTCTCATCCTAAGGCAAAGATGGAAAAATACTGTATTATAGATGCAACTTTACATCTCAATCATCCTGAGGCTTAATGAGAGGTTCCCAAAACAAGAATTACAAATCTGGTACCAAATACTAATAGATAATGGATAATCAAATTTTTGCCTCTTTACATTTTACTAATCATGGTTCACTTGTCTGTGTAATCTACCACTTCCCAATACAGGTATTTAATTCCTATTCACTATGTTCCATCTGTTCATTGCAGTTTATGTTTATCAGTTGCAGGATAAGCATGTTTTATTGACAGTAATATTTTTCACATTTCTTACACTTCAGTTTTCTTGTCTGAAGACCTCAACTCAGTTCTATATATTTAACCACATTGAACTTGGTTACACCAATGATTTTGTACCTTGGGTTATGCTCTGATCAAAAATTAATCCAGGGGCCCAGTTTAGCTAGCTCATTCAGTCTCCAGGTCCCAGGCAAGTAGTACTATCTGACCGACAACGTAATAACGATTTTACACAACATTGTGTGGAGTTTTGGTATAGAAATAGTATCGACGATGTAATAATGAAACATTGTTAACTGGGATAACATTTCAGTCAAGAAATGATGCTCTAGAGTCTAGACAATAAATTATTATTACAATGGAGTTCTACACACCTGCCTTTACACCATCCAAGATCCTTAGAGCTTCCCATCACCATGGCTTTATGGTGGTCAGATATGGACAGAGTAAGAAGATCTGTGTTCTTTTCACCCTGTCTGAAGTAAAATAAATCACATCAAAAAACAAAAACATAAGAATTAACCCAAACACACATAAATATATTTTTTTTAGTTCACTTGCAGAAAATGCAAAATAATTTATGCCATACCCAAATGTCTTTGTTACTGACTGCCCTGGTTTTAACATACAGTACACTACAGTACAGCACAGTGTACTACAGGTTGGTTTTAGTTTAAGGAAAGCTTTTCAGTTATGTAACCCATTCGTAAATCACGGTTGGCCTGTAATTTCAAAACAGTTCATACATCACAATGTACAACTTTTAACAACTACAGCTTTCACATTTAGAAAGCTGCATCCCAGCTACCCTCAACAGGTTGATTAGGTGAATCCATGGTGCATATTTGAAGGGGTTTTGTGAAATCCCTCATGAGATGTCTTGATTACAAGCGGTAACTAACTAATTAATGGGAGTTTGGGTCACAGATGTACGAAATGTATAATGATAGTACCTGCAACCCAGGTCTAGGCTGAAGGGTGGAGAGTTAAAAACCCAAGAAAATCTTTTTAACATCAAATAACTATCATATGATATAACAAGTGTTTCACCTGTCCTTCATGATTTGAGGATTGAGGAGGCCCACCACGGTGCCCACACTGCTCTTCCACAAGCCTTTGTGAGCCCCTGAGAAAAGGAACACAGCCACTGTTTTGGTGCAGTCTGTTAGGTCACTCAACTTCCAGATGGAGTACTGGGAACCCTAGAAATCATAATAAAGAGCAAGATGAAACAAGTATTATGTAAAATGTGTAAGAGCTTTTCAATATTCAATATGCAGTGCATGAACGGAAAAGGTGTTATCAAACATACTGAAATACATTTATGTATGTAACTGATGTAAGTGGTAAGGGGACAAATGAGCTAAATTATCATCATTGACCAATGACCATGGAAATGTTGCAGGTATATACAGTATGTCTCCACAGTTGTCAGATTATAACAATGTTTCACAAGTTGTTGCACAGGGAAGATAATATAAATCATAGCTTTTTTAGAGAGAATTTATATGACAGTCCTTCAATCACATTGGCTCCTTAATACTGTCAAACCTTAACACACATTCTATATTCACATTCTATATCCCCAAGGCAATCAGTGGGCTTAAACATACCTTTTGTGAGGTTTTGGGGTCACTTTTTGATACCAATACTCCAATAGTGACCCAATCTCCCTCAATATCTCCACCACGTAAGTGAAGATTAATTGTGGACATGCGTACCATCTTGCGTCCTTCCATCCTCTCTCGCATCGAATCTCCCGACACCACAGGATTGCTGAAGAGGGGAACACAGAATACACTACAACATGAGGCTTGATATGTATGAAATTAATTTTCTATTTTTTTATGACCTGATAATCTGAATGACTGTCGGGTCCCTGAAACACACAAATGAGCAGGGTGATAAAGTTACAATTGCATCCTTGCTCTTAATGCAGAAAATGATGTATTAATATATAAAATCAATGAGCTGAACATTTACTCTTTCATGAGGTTCCTTTATACTGTACACTAAAGAAATATGATAATGATCCTAAAATCCTATTTTGTAACCACCATGGATCAGGGAACTCGTGTACAGTGTCAGCAAGGCTGCAGGTTTAACCTTTACGCCCCGGGTGACGTTCCAGAACGCCCGACCTGTGGGCCCCAGGTGACGTCCCAGAATGCCCGCCTTTTCCCGCCACTGTTTAAATGCCCAGCACAGGTTATCAAGTTCTAGTGTGACTATTTGCCTGTCACGCCACATGCTCGGCCTCAGGGAAGCTTCCTGAACTTGTTTATTTCATTTTCATTGTTTGTCCATTTTATCATATTGGATCAAAGTAATATTGCTAAAAGTAGTGCACAATAGTTGTATTGTTGTGTAGTATTACTGGAAAGTAATGCAATGACTATGTTATAAATGTATTTATTTGTGAAATTATTCCAATAATTACTGTATTTCTACACATTACTTGCTCTACCAAACACAAAGACAGCCAGACAGCCTAGCGACAGACTGTGTGTGTGTGTCACCGAGCAGTGTTTATGAAAAATAATGCAAAAATAAAATAAATTCTAAATGAATTATTTATAGGAAATACGCATTATGATCAGTAAATATATGTATTACTGGCAATCCCAAACACAAAGACAAGTTAAAATAGCTGCTAAGTGCATAGTTGACCACAAGTGCTCACCGTCATCAAGCTGTCCCCTTATCTCCCTTCGCACTGCCAGGGAAGTATTTAGAGGGTCAATACATACTTTTTCTTACTTCTTTTTTATTGTTTTATCATTTAAAAGGTTAAAAATTATTTTCTGAAAAGTTGATTTTTCTCGATTAACCCCTGAGTGGGGGTACGCCCAGCGACACCCTAACCCAGGGCTTAAGGGTTAACCCCAGGGAAAAAAAAAAAAAAAAAATATATATATATATATATATATATATATATATATATATATATATATATATATATATATATATATATATATATATATATATATATATATATATATATAAAATCACACGGGAAAAGGGAAACAACGGAGCACCTTAGCTTCAGTTGCCTCTGAAGATGTCTTGAATAAAGAAGAAAGCTAAGGTGCTCCGTTGTTTCCTTTTCCGTGTGATTTTATCAAGATATATCTTATCCACGTTTTCATTCTGGATCTACATATATATATATATATATATATATATATATATATATATATATATATATATATATATATATATATATATATATATATATATATATATATATATATATATATGTATATATATATATATATATATATATATATATATATATATATATATATATATATATATATATATATACTGTATATATATATATACATATAAGAAAAAATATCCCGATGGCTTATTGTTTATATAGTACTTGTTTCAAATTGTATGAATACTATATGTAGATATATTAGATAATGAAAAGTGCTGAGAAAAACTCTGAAAACACTTTCAGTTGGAATTTGTATATTAAGATATTGTAAAAAAAAATTATGAGAGTTATCAATCTACGTTATCCCTTTATGGACATTTAATCATGCCTCACATGCAGTTTCCTAGATGTTATACACAATGTTCAGTAAGCTGTAGCTTTTCCACGTGAACTTAAGATGAATAAGAAAAATACTTACATAATTCTGATTCCAGAATACTGGTCTACAGTAACATTCTTATCAACTTCGGATGAAGAAGTACCAGCTTCTTTTAGAGACACCAGGGATCCATCTACTCCCTTCCAACCCAATTTCTGCTGGGATTTTCCCTTAACTCTGGCCAATACTTCATCTTTGCGATTATTTTGTACTTCATTAGACTCATGGGAGATGCGCTTCCTAATTTCTCGCCCACAGCTGTTGTAGCGCTGCTCAAAGGGGTTTCGATTATCTTCTTCATCTTCAGAATCTGTGTCTCCTCTATGTAATTCACTCTTCCTTTTAAGATTACGGTGAAGATTTGATTCTTCATCAGCAGATAAGGTTCTAACGGTGCGCTTTGCTTCGTGGCTAATATTGGTTAGCTTAGTAAATTTTGTACTTGTAGATCCATCTTTTACATTAAATTTCTTTTTCTTAGATAACTGATCTCGAAGAAGATTCATGCGTTCTTCCATTTGTTGTAACTCTGCTTCTAAAGGATCAAAATCAGTATTACTATTATTTGCCAATGTCTCCTCTTCCCTTTTCTTTGAAAATTTGGAATCTTTGAAAGCAGCACTAAAGTCTGACTTAGCAGAGACACAAGTTGTGGGTTGGTCTTCATCATCAGACAAAACAAGACCCAGATCAGCCATGCTGGGGTTTGTGACATCTGGAACCTTTGGAGCACTAGACTCAGGTTCTTCTAGTTTCTCCTCATGCTCCGCATCCAACATGGTAGTAAGAGTGTGCAGATCTTCTGATTCGGCTCCTGTCCATCCTCTGTCATCATCATCATCAAGCATAGCAGCCAAAGAGTCCAAATCATATTCTGTGGATCATAAAATATTCTGATTTCAATAGTGTTGTTCCTGCAGGGATCACTTAACATAGTATAATACAGTATCACATACAAGAACTTTTTTAGATAATAAGAAAAAATACTTAAGATTTAAATTTGATACTAAATATAAATACTGTATGTAGTACACGCCAGCCATCCTAAACTAATGTAACTTTTATCCAACAACCAGAGGGTAGGTCTTTTAACCCCTTCACTACAGAGATGAGGCTTAATATTTTGGTAAAGTTTTACTTTCGCACAACACGGGAATCTTTGCAATCAATAGTTTAGATAATTCTAAGATACGTTTCTTCTATGACATTTCCCTTACAAATTATCTAAATATTACCTAATCTAATCTTCTAACCACTCTCTCGGTTAGGTAGGTTTTCCCCCCAAAATAGTCAGTTTCGGTTGAAACACAAAATATACAAGGAAAAACAAGTCAATTTATAGTTAGTGCACCATTCTTTCTTTGGGTATTACAAATGTGTTAAAAAAAAATCGTCAAAAACCAACCAAACCTAACCTAATCAGGGGTCAAGGGGGCAGAGCCCTCTGATTAGGTTAGGTAAAACGATGAACTAATATTAAAAGACAGGAAAACCTAATTTTGTTAGTAGTTTCCATGGTGTAATTAAAAAGAATCTCTACCATACATAGTTTGTAAACCTGCACTGTATATATAGTTTGTATACTTACACAGTTAATATATAGAACTAATCCACCAGGACTGCATAGCGCCGATGCGGGCATATCATCGCACATCCAGAAAATGCCTCAAATTTCACCATATCATATTAAGTTCTTTCTGTTTAACATACCGGGAAGTTAGGTAAGGTTAGGTATATTTGTTTGGTTTAGTTGGTTAGGCCTGTTCTTCATAGCCACAAATGTTAAGTAGCGTTTATTTTAAAAATATCAATTTTTTAACATATTTCCACAAATTACAAAAGTGTCCACTATAATATAACAATGAAGATCAGTGTACTGCGCACATCATTGTCATCCTTAATATCTCTTTTATTCATATTATGGTACATAACATTCAAACTAGAATTAGTGACCCCAGAATTGGGCAGGATATCAAGTGTTTTTATAATTGTTTTTAATCAATTTCGCTCGCGGGTTAGTCCTATATAATTACCACTTACACTACTGTATGAATAGTTTGTATACCTACACTAATGTATGAATATTGTTTGTATACCTACACTAATGTATGAATATTGTTTGCATACCTACACTAGTGTATGAATATAGTTTGTATACCTACACTAATGTATGAATATTGTTTGTATACCTACACTACTATATGAATATACCTGTAGTTCATATACCTACACGACTGTATGAATATAGTTTGTATACCTACACTACTATATGAATATACCTGTAGTTCGTATACCTACACGACTGTATGAATATAGTTTGTATACCTACACTAATGTATGAATATACCTGTAGTTCGTATACCTACACGACTGTATGAATAGTTTGTATACCTACAATACTGTATGAATATACTTTGTATACCTATAGTACTACTATATGAATATAGTTTGTATACCTACACTACTGAATGAATAGTTTGTATACCTACACTACTAGGTGAATATAGTTTGTATACCTACACTACTGTATGAATATAGTTTGTATACCTACACTACTGAATGAAGTTTGAATACTTAAACAATTGAATGAATATACAGTAGTTTGTATACCTACACTACTGAGTGAATATAGTTTGTATACCCACACTACTGTATGAATATAGTTTGTAAACCTACACTACTGAATGAAGTTTGAATACTTAAACAATTGAATGAATATACAGTAGTTTGTATACCTACACTACTGAGTGAATATAGTTTGTATACCTACACTACTGAATGAATAGTTTGTATACCTACACTACTGAGTGAATATAGTTTGTATACCTACACTACTGAATGAATAGTTTGAATACTTAAACAATTGAATGAATATACAGTAGTTTGTATACCTACACTACTGTATGAATATAGTTTGTATACCAACACTACTGTATGAAATTTGTATACCTATACACTACTGTATGAATAGTTTGTATACCTACACTGTATACAGTTTGTATACCTACTTTATGTATACATCGTTTGGATATCCACAATATGTATACATCGTTTGTAAACCTGCATTATATACACCGCTTTGGTACCTGCATATGTAAAAGTTTGTAGACCGTAAATACACTATGCACATTGTTTGTATATCTCCATTGTGTACATTGTATACCTGCATTGTTTATATACATATTGATTCAATTTGTGCTTGTATGGGAATTTTACTGAGGAAATACCTAGAAGTAACCTTTTAAGTATAACATGCCAATGTTTGAACTCGATCTCACCTGATCTCGACCCTGTAAGAGGCCTGAAAATATAATGAAACACAAGTAGGAAAATCTAATTTCATACTTCTTCAAATTCTACAAATTACTTTACCTGTCTCACTGTCTGCCATTCCAAGTTTTGTAATGATCTAGAGGTATATAACAGTCACACAAACTTCCTTAGAACAGAGGAGGTGTGATGAAGCTCACTTTACACGTATGGCGGGAACTTCCTATTCTCTCAGGACATTTCTCTTACATAGAAAAAGGGAAATAAGTATTGATGTCAAAACCTGTAAAATATATCTTATAAAGTTTATTTAATTAATTTTCTTATGATATATATGGAGTTGTACGTAAACTGAGTATTTTATTCATAACTTATAATTAGTTTTCATATTTAGAATTATTTTTCCACCTCATTTTATTTTTGTCTCATAGGTGAATTATATTGCTGGAAGTGACCAATGTTTACATTTTGCCAATCAAAGGACACTTATCAGTACCTGCCATTTGAGTGTCGTATGTGATATCAGTGGGTCGTTATCTAGTTCTTTACCCTACGTATGTGGACATGACGTTGGAGGATCCATTTTTTGTGGTAAAAGAGTAAGTAATAATTGTATATTTCGTATTGTGTGTCAGAACCCCATGAGCCAGGAAACTTGGATTCCTTTAAAGTAATTTCACAACTAAGACTGGGAGTTGTTGGAAAGAAGGGGAGTGTTGAATTTATTAGTTGAGATCATTAAAACGATTGATTATGTGTTTGTTGAACCAAAGCATATTGTATGGAACTTGTCTACGAAACTATTCATTAAAGATTAATGTAAAAAAATGGATCTTGAAGTGGAGAACATCGCATGTCTTGTATATGTTTTTATAGTCTAGTTTTTAGTTAACGTGTAAGATGTGATATGAACATTATTTTGACAGCATAGTGGATATATTTAAAAAAAAATAAGGCTTCCTTATTTTGTGATTAGTCTTGTGCTGTCATTTCTTTTGCCCTTGTTTCGTTGAGCTCTTTTAGTAAAATTGGAGGGTGTTTGACCTGCTAACTATTAATAAACCAAATAAATAATGGTATGGTATATTTTCGGGTTGCCGCCTTGAGAATACTAATATATTCTAGAAGAACCACTGCAATACTTTTCAATGCATAGAATGATCTAGTGCTGATGCAAAGAAAAGACTTCAAATCTACAGTAGTTCAGACTTAACAACTAGGCTATATACCTCAGTGCCGTCTGCACATCTATGAATGTAATGAAAGAATTTTACTGGATTTTATCTTCTCATATCGGTGACAAACAATAGAGGGTAAATATCTTGAAGTTGCCGTGCATGGAAATTACGATGGAAAATATATTTTTATAGTGTATTTCATTGTGCTTTATAAAAATTTTACCCCCAAAATTTGGGTTGCATAAAGTGGGCAGGGCTTTGAACTACTGTAGAGGGAAATTGTGGGGTTATAAAACACAGCCAAGGCAAAACTAACATAGTTTTATGATCCGTGATCTTTAAAGATTTTCTGATTAATTTAGGTCAGCGAGGTTGGGTTTGGTCAGTTAGTGTAGTCTGCTGCCATAAATGGTTTAGTTTATTCTCATTTTTAAGGTCTAGATTTCAGCTTGACAAAATGAGAACAAATTGAGAAAAATGTTGAAAAGTACGATTTACAGTACAGTATATAATGTAGTACCTGTACACTATTTAATTTTAACAGAAAGAAATTGGTTCATTGCAGTTAAGTCAAATTAATTTTATTGGTGGTTTTTATTTGTTCACCAAAGTAAACTCTGCCCTCTTCACAGTTCTGTACTGACAACAAATCTGTTAACTGCAAGTACTGCTACAGGGTACATTCAAGTTACGAATGTTCAGTGGTCAAATTAGCTAAAGCTGTTGGATTAGTGGTGCCTTTACTTTAGTATTTTATCGATAATAAACAACTTCAGTAGAAAAAGTTGTTAAATGTGTAAATTATCAAGTGTACAATGATGTACTGTACAGGTACTTCAGTTTCATACCAGTGTTTATTGGTACAGTACCTTATGAATGTAAGGTAGGTAAGGGAGCAATTAATAGTGGCTATAAAGTAGAAGTGTGTGTGGGCAAAGAACACACAAAGGTGACGGCACACTAGGCACTTTCCTCCAGACATGTTGCCCGTTTTGCTGGCCGCTGGCCTGATGGCCCAGCAAGCAGCAGGATTTCGGTCATTGCGAGAAATGGACAACAGTTTGGCGGTGAGCTTTGCTGGTAGGGTTAGTACTCAAATGAGCTTTATATTAAGTGTTGAATATTCAAGTAAAATACTAAAATAAATCACAAAACAATAATAATTTATAATATAACAAATAAAACAGTGACATGTGTCTGTTTATTCGTCACAGCTGATCTGAGTTGCTAGGGAGCCACGAATTACCCAAATGTACCCGAAAGTACCCAAAAGTATAGCAAATAAGGGTAAAATCTTAATGAATATCTGTTATACATACACAAAACATGTTTAATAATATTTTTAGTGTAATTTTGTAAAAATAATTTGTAAGATGAAATAATAAACAGCGAAAAACTTTCAGTATTGGCGAACGCTAAATTCCAA